CCCCCAAAGTCCATTAACTGGGTCGTCCTGTTAATTTTGCTTCGTAGGCAGACAGACAAAGGCAGCAAATAGCTTTCTTAAAATGAGGGGGTTTATTACCACAAGTTCCAGTGATTTTTGAGGCACTAAACACGGAAAATTACAGATGCATAGGCAAAGATTGCAATAATTGGTTAATCTAGTATTAGTTAGCATTGAACATTTTTGAAAAATAATAAAACTCAATTCAGTTATACCACCTGAAAAAAACTCTTGAATTTTTCAATTAATTTTGCCTTTTTGAGCTAATTAGCTACCTGAACAGAGCACAACAATGTACCCCATGATAGCGCGAAGTTGAACAAATTCAAGGCAGAGGGAAAGCAAAAAAAGACATTATAACAAATACAATAACTTTGACAATGACTAAGTAAGTTAATGGTCACTAAGCTTAAATGTTACCATTATTCAGAAACTACCATCGATATCATTAATTACTTCTTTTCATTCACAACGGCAGTTTTATTTCAACATTATTTGCTTTTGAATAAAAATGACCTATTTTACATATGAAAAAGCAAAAGTAGCTAATTTACCATTTCATATTTTTCAATGTACACAAAACCGCAATTATTCATATATATGCTTTTATTTAAATATTAAAGTCAACATTGTTTAGAATTGTAAAATCATTCGCGGAAACGAAACGGAACATGTCTTAGCGTCAGGTCTCTATTTGATTAGCTAACTACGTGTAAATACGCTTAAAATTGCTGGTAAGTCCGCCAATATTAGATACGAAGCCTTTTTGCCAGTCAGCTCTTTCCGATCTCCTGGTTTTGGTAGACAGTAGCGGTCTAGATAACTGATTTACAATCAATAATGTCAGGCAAGAGACATTTTTGATCTAGGAACTTAAAGAAAATGCTTGAATTTTGAGCTGAGTTTTCAAAATACTTGAATCAAATTCCCAAGATAATGATGATTTTCAACATATTTGCAATTTTAGAACCAAAAACCAAATTCACATTAATGCAAAGAGTAAAGGACATATTCGACTATTTATATTTTTTTCTTAAAAACAATGTTACAACGTAGTTTTAAATCTTATCGATTTACGCGCGTTGTGTTCAAATGCGTCTTACAAACGACCTTAAAAAAGTACTAAGTCATGAACCCCCCTCTATGATATCCAATCAAAATAAAGCCAAATTTCGAAATGTCTGAGGAGAATCTTAAGTGGTATATAGAAACGGGGGACGTTAATGGTTTTGAAAGGGCCATATCTAAGGTGAATGAAATACTTTATATGACATTATTAGTTTAATGATGTAAACCAAGATATTGGAAATGGAAGAAGGCTTATCCACATTGCTGCTGATTATGGGCAGTCGGAAATAATCGAGATTTTAATAAAGAAAGGTGCAGATGTTAACGTAATTGCTTTAAGTTTTGGGTCACAGTAATCTAGGCTAAAGATGGTTTTGGGATGACTCCTCTAATCGCGGCTGTGTATGAAGATCACCCGAAATGCGTCGCAGTTTTATTAAAATATGTAAGCACTTATTCTTTTTTCTACTTCTTGCGTATTTATAGAAAGCTGTTATCACGTCAGACCCCAAAGGAAAAAATCTTTGCGACTGCACAGATTCTCAGGAAATCAAAAGCATGCTTTCAAAATAATTTGTCTTTTATCTTCCTTCATATCAGTTTTCGAGATCAATTTTTAGATTATTATCGTATTTTAACTTCAAATACAGAAATATCTTCGCAGAATACGATTTTTCTTATTGTCCTTTTTTAATAATTTATAATAATCATTAATTTTCCCTTTTTTGTATGGAATCATGGAAATTCCGAATACTGATTATGTTGAATATTATATGACTGTGAGTTCGTGCGAAGAAAAGCACGATAAGGAACATTATAGTAAACACAATTCTTTTGCAGCCGTTCGAGTTGCTGAGTTATTATCACATGTCGGTGTTATAAACAGGGATGTAAAAATTCAAGTAACAGCCTGTTGTTCGGAAAAGAATCTACTTGACGGAATACCCGATCACAAGAAGCATTACCTAATTGTTCGAACAAATAAGGCTGTCCTTAAACATGTTGTTGCAGCTTTAAATCAAGGATGCTCTGGTAGCCTTTCTGATGAAAATAGCGAAGGCAAGTTTAAAGAAGTGTGTACAAACATTGTTTAATCTATAATGAACATATTTGTCTAAAATTAGAGTTTTGGTTATTTTTAGCAACTAGCCTTGCTGTAGATTCGCTTACACCAGGACAAAAGGCTTGGCTAGGTGATCTGGCTGTGAGAATGGTTGCTTTCAGTGATGAGCAAAAGAAGATTTTAACTGATCTTAAATCCTGCCGGAGCTATCTCACTGTCGCTCCGATTCCACTTCCATCTACACCAACACCATCCTCTTTATCTACTTTCGGTTCAAATGAGCACAGCTCGGCTTTCTTCTCCATTAAATCCGCAAAAATCGTTAAGGAGATGACGGTCCTGCATAATATTCCAGAGAGACGTTTTGTTTTTTCCAACTTCTCCAACCATTTATACTGGTTTCCAACTGTGAAGTGGCTGCGTTGGTACCTTGGTGATGCTATTGGCTTCTACTTTGCCTGGTTGCAGTCATATTGTATTGCTCTTGCCATACCTGCTATTCTCGGTCTTCTAACATGGATTTTTGTTGCTATAGCCACCACAGTAAATTCAGAAGAGTCACAGGAGGAACATTCTTTATCTGCATTCATGGTAGCCTATGGACTAATAGTTGTTATATGGGGTCTTGTTTGCAATAAAATCTTCCGAAGGCAACAGTCCCAATTATCTGAGGATTGGATGCCTCCAGCATTTGCCAACGCTGCCGATATGTCTGGATGGGTCAATTCTCAAATGGATCAATTGAGGCCAGCTTTCAAAGGAAAGTTGAGAAAGAGTCCTATCACCGGGGAGATGGAATTATATTTCCCGTTTGCAGAACAGCGTGTCCTCCTCCTCACTTCAATGGGAATTACCTGTATCTGTGTTTTCCTGGCTCTCTTCGTTAATGTTCTTCTCTTAAATCTGGAGGTAAGCTTTGCACTTAACGCGATGGATATAACCACCCTGGGACGCAGATGATCTCATTTAATTTTTCACACAAGTTAGCACTAGGGAGCCAGGTAAATAGATCGATTAAATCGGTCTTAATTGTATTGCATATGTCTTCAATTATGCTTCCCTATTATTAGTGTGTTTTTGCTTGCAGGCAGCCATATCTTTTAATATTAACTGCTATATGAAATTGCCTAGAATTTGACGATGCCACTAAGCAATTCCTATTGTCCGAAATGTGTAATTTTGCTTACTACCAGGAAAGTTTTTTGTTTAAATCTGTTTAACCTGTTTACATTGACGCCAAAAACTCATGTTAGTACCCTCATTGTATTAATTAGTCTTCCCTTCAATTTTGTCAATTTTGAATTGATTGAAGTTGATCAAGTCTGGCATGTTGGTAAGCGCGCAAAGTAAGCAGGATGAAACAGGTTTTATGGGACCATGCACTCCGATATGGCGTGTGACAAGGGTTTCCTCTTCTTCTTCACGAATGCATCTAATTGGCGTAAGTGAGAATGGAATTGAGTCAACCGGGCAGGTATGATTTTTACATTTTCAGAAATCTAGAAAAAAAGGCAGAACACTTCTTTTACCTGAAAATTGAGGTATTTAGAAAATTCTTCAAATGATGTACAATTTTCGAAAGATTTCCAAATTAACACATGTGAGCAAGTAGCAGCTCGGGTCACAAAGTGAGGAAGGCGCGGTTCTGTTATGGTAGAACAAATCCCATTATAAAACTAGGATCTCCCTAACGATTACTGATAGACTACCACATATTCCAGATCAAGATATCAATCAATCGATAAGGATTGATCAGGAGTATATTATGGGTATGTTGTACTATGCGACTGCGCAGGATGTTAGAAAATTGGCGAATTAAAAATAGCTGGATAGACGAGCTTCGTTATACCAAAAAGTTACTTTCTATGAATGCCAATTGTGGACATTCGAGCTGAAGTGGATTGATTTCGCGTGGTCATTTCATTTCTTGATAATTCACACGACAAGATTTGGAAGAAATGAGCAAGGATGTCGAAAGTCGAGCTTTGAGGAATTTGTAGAAGCATGTCATTCAAAATTACAGTGATTACGAATGAAGATTTAGCCAATTTTATTCTGATTAATGGAAATAGAATTAAATTTGCCTCTCGAAAAGTAAATAAATTACGAGAAAGTGCTGCATTCTTTTCATTTTACTCTATTACTAGCTAATAAAAAAACGATATTTCATCTGGTCTGATTTTATATAATTTATAAAAATATGAAATTAAAGTTTTCATGCAAGTGTTCTATATGCCCTAAGAGAGCTAGAATTGACCACCTTCTGAATGATATTAGATTTAGGTTTCTTCTTTCTAGGGTATAATCAATCCGGATCGTTCACCCCATCTTCACTTTCGATTTATTGGATGTTTATGCGATCCCGGTCGAATATTCAATCCAAAGGACGGATTGTTGAACTTTGTTCCCGGAATTCTTCATCCTCTAGTGGTCAACATCTTAAATCAGGTCGTATTTCGACAGATCGCAGTGAAACTCACGGATATGGAAAATCACAAGGTATCTTATTAAAGTTCTAACTTTAAAAATTATGAGCTAAGAGGTAGTCTGTTTAATAAATCGACGAATTTTTCAACTTCTGCAAATGGTTAGATATTGATTCGCTAATTTAAGTGACCAGTCCATGGAATACAAAACCGGGAAAATGCGAGGACTGCTTCTCAGCATTCATCTTAAACCGAGGGAGCTGCTTTCTGATACGAATCGATTCCTGGAGTTTTGAAAGTGGTTTATTTATGGCTTGGTTATATCGCTTATCAATGCAGTGGTTATCTTGAAGAAAATTGGATCTGACTGTATTTTGATTCTCGTCTCATTACGTAAATTTCTTTAAGGGTAAAAGTGGGCTTACTTTTTCTCACATGGAACTCACGAAATTACATTTAAGTCATGTGAGTTTTCGAGATCTTATTGAGAAGCTAATATGTATGCGAAACCACCCTTTATGTTTACCTCATCACTTACACCAAAAACGTGACCAACATTTAACAATAATGACTAATTTCCTGGTTCTTGTCTGCAAGTTATTCCTAAAAGGTGGTGAAATAGACATCGATTCTCTCAACTCTATCCCTTCAATCGCATCTGCGGTAGCTACAATTTGTTATTCGAATAGGTAGTGCGAATTCCTTGCGCTAATTTGCGTTTTCTATTGGCTCGCGCCTGCACCAAATTTGGAGGTCACTGGGTACTTTGCTAGGTACCATGTTTTGTAGGCGATTTACATGCACTTCTTCTTTTTTTACGCTGAAATTAACTTCATTGCTTCATGTAACACAAGCTCAAACATTATTATTATTATTTCAAATGGTAGGCTTTATGATATTTATCATTAGCCCTTAAACTTTGACTTCAGTTTCCCCCATGGGTGGGGGTACATATATAGCAGTTAATTAATAGCAGTTCATTAGCTGTCTTCTTGCTTCCAAGTATCTCTGGTTTCTGTCATTGTCTTTAGTGCTGGACATCGAATCAGGTGGGTCTTCTCCATTTCCTCCTGTAGGTTACATAGAGGGCATGCGGGTTGAGTGTATACTCCAAATCTATGAGGATGTTTTGCCAAGCAATCGTGTCCGGTACGTAGTCTAAACTCAGCAATGGC